TACGATTTAGAGTATATCTAGTCCCAAACATAAATGTTTTATAAATCGTTTTCTTTATGTCAAATAACGGCAGACTGTTTATCTTCCTCATTTGAGTGGAACTTTGGAGTTTCAGAAAGGCATTTTATCATTCTCCTATGCCAGTACCTTGAAGCTTAACTACCATTTTATTTCAATTTTACTTTAATTCCCCCTAAAATTTTGTATAGCATTAAGGGCCCTTTTTCTGCATCTTGACTACGAGATTGATCGTTGCGAAAAACTTGAACGTAAACCATTTTAAATATCGATTAATTGTGCACAAGAAACCTCTTAGGGTCTGAATGGCGTTCTCTCGTCAAGTTGACTGCAGTTCAGATCTCCCATAAGTCTTTCCAGTTTTTTCGGCAGGCCCTAAAGCATGGAGATACGGATCTAAGGACAAACACCTACATCATAGTCCATAAGATCCAAATGCTGATAAGTTGCAAGGTAGGTTTAGCTATCAAAGTAGTATAGATCTAACATAAGTAATTTTTTTGTGGACATTTTTGCATCGGTGGAGAATCACATATTCACCACTAAACGTAACACGTTACTAAAATGACAATAACGGTCGGCTTTATTGCAATCATCATTTTTTAGTCAGACTGATCTTTGTGTTGAAGGCAAGCACAGTTTATTAACCAGATGGGATATAAAGACAAATAACAAAATATAAGTAGGATGAAAAGATTCTTTTGAAGATAAGAGAGGCCTTGTGCAGTATCCCACCAGCCAAAATCCCTATAACAAGCAACTGACAAGATTACTAGATAATGAAAATGTAAGACATACAAGATGGTGATAATGATAAAAATCAAATGGGATGAAAAATAATTAAAGGCTAGTATTATCTCAGGTTAAATCAAAGTTATTGTTAACGAAAATAAAACATACGCTTTGTAATCAGCTGTCTGAATATTGGAGTGAGAGCCAGAAAGACTTCCAGATTCAGTCCCAGCCGCATGTCCACCTGTGCTGCCATTGCTTCCAAGTCTCGTTGCTGCAGTGAATGACCGCCTCGCCGCACTGGCAGCAGCACCAACAGCCAGGCTGTGTCTTCGCAGCTCTCCACGCCAACCTGCTAGACGGCCGGATGAATGACTTGCAATCCGATTTGGAGACCCAATAGCCGATTCAATTGGCTCGTTGTCAAATAAGAGACCCCTAGACCCGGAGCCGGATAGACGTCTGGCTTGGGTCCGACTTGGGATTGATTCTTCCTGTCTTTGTTGGTCACCAGACGAATCATTAAGGATAGCTTCATCAACGGTTTCAGAAAAGTCGTCATCATCAGTAGAGTCTCTGTCTGAAGCAAGCCCAGTCACAGAGGTCGAGGAGCAGAGCATTAGACTCGATAAAGTAGTCTTGCGCCGATGACTTTGAGGACGGGAAAACTAGTTATACGGAGGGTAAATGAGTACGAATTTTTAAAGGTTAGTGAAAGCTCATACCAAATTGTCATGAATGTGAAGAAAAGAATAGTGCAGGAAAGTGAACGAATTTTAGCGCTTGAGAGGAGACGTTTTGTGCACAATTTTCAAGCCAATCTTACGGTTTCAAATGAGAGCAGAATTAAATTAACCCATGGGATTTTCGACGACATCGCACTAAAAGTAAGAAATAGTCTATATAAGTGCTATTTATTGAATTTAGATACTACAATAAATCATTTTGAAGACTGTGCAACTGCACCATCATTATCATTCTCATATCACATGCTTTAGCTGAGAATTTTCATTCTGAGAAATGTGGCATCCCTCTCACAAAATTTGTGCTTGCCCAGACCCAATAATTAATCGCCAGGAAATATATATGATTTAAACAAACTAAAGAATCCTCTCTTAAAAATAAGAAAGTATTATTAAAACAGTTTCGACCTGCCTAGGAATTTAAGGATAAAATATTACAGGACAGAAGATTTCCAGGAAAAGTTCCAAATGCGTTAAAATAGATATCATGTGAACAAAGCCCATATGAGAGTTGGTGAATGAATGAAAGCCCACGAAATTTGAATGCATTTTGTCGTTCACTCTCTGATTTATCTGAGTTTTTTGTTAACAAGGTGTAAATCGGGTACAAGAAAGAAGGAGAATTTGATAAAAGTTCAGGCAATTCTTGTGCGTTTAAGAAATCACAAATACAAAACAAAACTCATGAATTGCAGTGACAGCAAACATGAATAGTTTTAAATATGTATAGAAATAACTACAATTTAATAAGAAGGAATTAAAGGAGTCAAAAACTTATTTATTTTTACATCAAGTAAGAGGTCCAATCTAGAGGATCTGTGGAGTAAAGCAACAGAGAATTTTGAAATATAATATTTGAGCTTGGTAGAGAATTTCAAAGAGACATTATTTCAGCTTAGCAAGCATTACCCAGCCAAGACTAATCAGGCTGCCTCAAAGCTTATTACACTCAAAATGATGCTTAGTCATCTAATTAAGTATTAAGCAAGGACATTGTTTAGAGGCTGTGAGAGATATAAATTTGAAAATCTTTACATCCGTACATTTTAAACGAAATGAGATATATGCCTAAAATGAGCATAAAAATCTTTAGCTTAATCAGTTTATTACAAATAATTGCTGGAATTGAGAAGCGTATACAATATTTTGTTATAAAGTTTTCTCGATAATGGCTCTGCTCAAATATAACTCACACTATCCAAATAGGCAGCATAATGGAAAATCGTAAAAAAACAATTCACGTATTTGCCTTCAAAAGAACTATAATTCCGGTTTAGTACCATATTGACTCAAGGGGCGATAATCTAAACAATTCGCATAAATCGCTTATTAACACAACCTTGGGAGAGGCCAAATTTGTCATATAATTCTTTTGATAAATGTTCTTGGGGGGGAGTGAGTAAATGAAGGGCAAGTGATAAATCATAAAGTATAGAAGCGTACAGCCAAAGTATACACAGCCAATGGAGAGAAAAGCAAACTGTCAGTATTCAGATTGCTGAATAGTGGGGTCCTTGAAAATTTGAATGAGCAAATAGAGGCCAAACCACTCGAAGATGAATCATTGATAAAATAATTTATCTTTCTTACTCTGAGTGTAATTCTTTTTATTTTTATAAGAAACAAATCCAATCGTATTCACTGTTAGATCGTTCGTTCACTCAGTCTTTCAGCATTCGTACCGGCATAACAGAGGCTAAAAGAACCTACTCAGCCAATATCACTTAGAAGAGTTATAGTTAAACGTTGAAGAAGGGGAGTAGTATGTCTTGGAGATAGCAAAGGTAAATAACTATGTGTAAATACTGTTTGAGTAGAAAATTTTATCCGAATTAAAAAAAATTTGCGTGTATTTGTTCTAAATTAGAATTAGTTACCAGGCAGGCAATAAATGTAAGTCACCATGGTTTAGCCAACAAGAAGATATTATGAGCATCTATAGGAATAAAATTTCACTGATTCTGCTACTTTCATTTTTGTAGTTCATCTGCAAGCCAAGCAGGTGAGCTGCTAGCACACAAATTGGTTAATAGATGGAGAATCTAATGTACATTCATTCGATTCTTAAGATTTATTGAATTAGATCGGAAGGTTGGAGAAAGTACATGATGACTAGATTGAGGCTTGGAACGCTTAAATTCTTATAATAGCAAAATGGGGTGCAATACCCTGCTTAAAAAGAGCTATAGAATCAGCTTAGTCTAATTTGTCAAAAAGTGACATAAATAGGATCAAGTATATCATGTGAATAATTCAGAATCCTGTAAATAACTTTGCTCATGCTTGTGAATAGCATAAAATGAAATAAATGCATAACATGGCCCAGACCCGTATAATAAAAAGCTGATTTCTTGTCGTACTTTTACCTGCGAGTTATTCTGTAGTCCGGTTTGATGCTGTCGCTTGATATTCGCCTCCAAGTGGGCTTTGATCTCATCAAGCTGAAGTGAAGCTGGCAGTTCATCACTCGAGGAGGAAGACGTGTCCCCAGGCAAGGATGTCAATCCCATCGCACTAAATGTATTGGCTTCGACTGCCTTCCTAAAATCATCCAAGGAATTCTTGTCGCCTAAATCGACAATTTCCCCATCATCCTCCACCTCTCTCCTCGCGTGGTCTGTTTCCGAGGCAACACGATCTCCTGAGTAAAGAGAATCCATTGCTGCATGACCATCGTCTATGTTAGAAAAGTTGAGTCCGAGTATGGGTAGTCCGAAATCGAAGGTTATCGAACGAACAGGCAGTATCAAATTGCTCTCCAGATCTGACATCGGTCTGGGCAGCTGTTCTAACATATCCAGATTACCGCCGCGATCCATCATATCAGATTGAGGTTCCATGCTAGAAGGCCCCGGTTCCTCTGTATCAACTGCATTTAGAGATATCGAAGTTGCAGTAATGGCCATAGATGAGTCGAGGTGATGTCTAAGTTCAGCCGGTTCGCTGGGGCTAGCATCGGCACCAGAATCCGAACCTAGGCTTTGTACACTACTGCTAGGTATAAATTTAGAATGGCCGATAGATGGTCGGCAGTTAGCCGAGGAAAGGCGAAGAGACCGGTTGCCTTCGGTCGTCGTAACTGCGGCCAGCGCTTCTAACCATCGGCGTCGACTAGGACTGGAGTCCAAGTCAGCTGGAGGCGAGATGCTGACTGCTGATGGAACTGGACCACAGATTGAATCGGCGTTAGGAGAATGTCTCTCTGCTGTGAAGTAGGGTGCTTCAAGGTGGCCAAATAAGCTATCACAATGCAGTATCATCAGGCCCATTATAAAGTTAGAGATTCCTTGGTGCCGTAGGCCCTTAAAGAATACAAATGTATCGGGTAGAAAAGTAAGAAAATGAGGAAAAAAGGCTCTAAAAATATAGTATTATTCAAAAGAAATAGCATCTTACAAAGTGGAGTGTGAAAGATTATATATTACACAACCAAATCGCCATGAAGATTAACAAGTGAAACTCCTTGAATTAGAAACCAATTTTGTTGTTAAGAGTG